TTATTTCATCAAAGAATTTGTTTCATGATTTACTCAGTAACAAAGCACAGACATCATTTGAATACTTTATTAAATAATTATAATCAAACTAAAAAAGGAAATTCCACCATCAAAAGTCACATTTAATTTTTTTTTTATTTAAATGTTTCAAGTTTTCCAAACAACAACAGCATCGCTCTGTGAGCTACAATATATGCATGTGTATTATTTACTTCCAAAGGGAAAAGCTCGAAACTCCCTGAACCGTGTTGTGCCGACAAGAGCACAACTTTATTTAATATTTATGATTTATTATTTTAGTATAATTATTTTTTCACATGATGTAGTAATAAGAATTTGGAGAAGAAATTAGCTTTATTTTCATGACAATAATGTCATGATTCAAAAAAAGTTTTAATAGTCCTAAAAAAAATGGCTTAATATTATTTTTGCAAAATACAATTTCTTTTGATAATTTTTATGATGAATCTTTATTTCATCAAAGAATTTGTTTCATGATTTACTCAGTAACAAAGCACAGACATCATTTGAATACTTTATTAAATAATTATAATCAAACTAAAAAAGGAAATTCCACCATCAAAAGTCACATTTATTTTTTTTTTTATTTAAATGTTTCAAGTTTTCCAAACAACAACAGCATCGCTCTGTGAGCTACAATATATGCATGTGTATTATTTACTTCCAAAGGGAAAAGCTCGAAACTCCCTGAACCGTGTTGTGCCGACAAGAGCACAGGAGGTTTCAGAAGCCACACCAAGGCTGATGGTGATTTAAGAAGGAGAGTTCAGGAGCTACATGACCACAGTCGAGAGAGGTTTTGTGCCCAATTAATGAGCTCAGTCCAAAATAATCCAGATTGGCTTGCTCTCTGAAAGGCCTCCACCAAAGGCCTATGTGGCACAGCATATTGTTCATAAAGCTGATAGATAGTAGAAAATAACTGATGTCTGGCAAAACCAGAATACCATTTGTGCTGAATTAGAGTTACCATCTATCTGACAAGTTGACATATCTTAGTTTTTTTTAAGTGTTTAAATGTCTCAAATTCAAGTTTAAGAGTTTGTTTGAACTTCCTTATAACACTGAATCGAATTTCGCTTGAACTAAATGCTGACCAATGGCAGACTGTTTGGAAAATCCAGTTTGAAAATATTTGCAATTTCACTGGTGCAGAAATCACACACAGCAGCTTTAAAGGTTGTATGATGGCTTAACACTATCAAAACTCGATTTTCATAAACTCCAGTATTCAGAGCAAAGGTACCCAGTATAATCGCCAATGTGCACAGAAGAAGCTGTCACTGAAACAACATCAAAAACCACAATGCAAACAGAAGTCTGAAATTAAGATTCTAACACTGTTGACATAAGATTTCCCGAACCTGGGATGAGCTGATAGGAACTTTTTCAGTACAAATAATAATTATAATTACAATTACAATAAAAAACACAAACAAAACATTCTGGAATTTTCTTTTAACCTGAAATTTAAATACAAATGGAAAAAATAACCACACAATTTAAAAAAGTGTCAAGTTGACATGTACACCACCACAGTAGCAATTCCTGAATGATATACATGCATTTTTTTCAGTCATTTCACATTGATACAAGCAACTTATTTACACCACACTGGATATGTTTCTGAATCCAGACTCTACATGGCGTTCCTTTTGTATTCTACATACATTTAGCAGCATTGAAAACATTGATAAATCTTAGTAGCCGTAACTCATAGAGTAACGCCAGCTTGCAGTTGTACTTAACATCCAGATCCTGAGTGTCCATCTACAGGTTGTAATGTCTTAATTTAGACTTGAAAATCACACGCCAGTCACATGTCTGTTTAAGGACCAGTTTTCTTCGTTGGAAAATCCATAGGGATTTGAGGTCTCTGTGTGCTTGTTTTGTCACATTAAAAATCTCCACGTACAGCAATCGATGAAGCGTTTGAGATGTAAAAAGGACATTTGTGCAAGCGTATCCTTCAAAGGTGTTTGCACACGGTTTCAGGTCCAACTGATTGACTGGCAACAGAAGAAATGGTCAAAACAGTATCATCGATGGGAGTGGACAATGGCTCATGAGTTATGATTATTCTAGCCTGAGAAAATCAAAGTCTCTATAATCAATCCTTTTCTGAGTCATGGCTTTCCTTAGGTTGCTGTCTTGCATTTAGGTGCGTGCCTTTGTTACCAAAGCGATATTCAATATCACTAACGTTTAGGGAGACAGTTTATATCCATATCAAGGCACAAACGTTTCACATCTGAAATATTTATCCCCATTCATCACAAGTTCAGAGCAAGTATGGAAACTAGAATACTTGCTGCCTTCAAAACATATATTTATGAGATAAGCTCATGAATAAGCTCATAATTATGAGTTTAAACCCTTGCTTTCTGAGTAGAGGCTGTGTCAGTGAATTTATCATTTATAGTCTGTATACAATTTAGTTTGTATGCATTTTGTATAAATTGATGGGGATTTGTAATAAAGCTAACGAGTTTTACACCTTACGCCTCCTTTACATTGTCGGGAAGAGAAAAACAAGAAAATTGGCCAGCGAATCAACTTCATTCCAACCAAAATCGCTTGAACGTACATCATGTCATAATTACGATTTATAAACTCATAAATAGGAGCTTCCCATATGACTTGAAGGCAGCAAATATTCCAGAGAAATCCCAGAGCTTCAGTACACATGGGTGAGAAACAATGGAGGAACAGTTTGAGCGGCAGTGCACGATGGCGAGCCAGACAGGAGGCGCAAACAGAAACACAGCAGGCTAGTTAACGTCGCACAAGCCCATTGCTAAGGCTGCGCACACTGGCTATGCAACAACGGCACTCTGTCAGCGCTCTCTGTGCACAATAAGGGCAAACTAAATCACTTTAACCGAGGCGAGGAAAACAAGTGATGTGTTTGTGAAAGGCGAGAGGGATGGGGGAATCACAGCAGATCAGGAGGGATATTTACACCCTATAGTATGCCAATCGCTTGTCTGTGGCCACAAGTTCCTGTAAATAACATCCTCCCCTGAGGCTGAAATGGAAACGACTAGAGGCTGAAATGGAGATCTGTAGACACACCGACTCTCTTTATAGGTACATCCTTTATGCAACTGTCTTCCCTGCTGTTTAGCAAAGGTAAAATTACTGAGTACAAATCAGACTGTGCTTGGGTCAGAAATTAAATCTGCTACAAACTGAGAACAACTCATGCTAAGAGTGTTTGTGATCATATTTCAAACTGTGTTCTCTTGATATCTGTATCTTCCTGTAGCATTACACCATTCAAACATGCTAAAGATCCCATAAAAAGTTTAGACAATTGCAATTTTATTCTTTGTAGTGACATATCCTGTTGAAACAGGAAGTTGGGGCAGGACATATCAAAGGGCTTGTTCTTTTTTTTAAAAATGGGGATGGCATTTGGTTTAAATCATAACTTTCTATTGCTAGTCAGAAGTATGTGGTTTTAGCAGGGACTTTCTCATTATAGAGAGCGTTTGATTGGGAAAAAATTGACAGAGCGAGTCATCAATATTTTATTTTTATTTTTTTTGGAAGGGAAAGACTGTGAATTTTAAAGTTGTATATTTGATAAAAGCTATTTTGTCAGTTTATTGGGAACATTAGCATATATATGCTTCAAAGCTAAAAAAACATGAACTAAAAGCCTTTCCAATCTAAATTTCATGGAGTCTCTACCCGCGTGAAAAGAAGTACACTTTACCATACTAAATTAAACTGTATTATAGTTTAATGTAACATATATATTTAAATACATGAGTTTCATAAATGCTTGTCAGCACATTTTGCAGTACATTTACACTAAACATAATACAAATTATACTGACAATAAGTTATGAAAATTGTATTTCATATATTTAAATATATTTGTAATTTACACATTTGTAATGATGAAGTTGCAATTTAGTACATTTAAAATATATTAACTTTAAACGTAATATTGAATAACAGACTACAGTTAAATTTATAATCAAGTACTTTCCATGTGCTTTAGTATGTTAGTCAGACATCAAAATAAGTGTACTTCAACACACAAAACACAACAAAAGATTAAGCATGATTAAAACTTTACTTTAAAGTAAAACTTCTAATTTGACATTATTACAAAGTGAACTTTTAAACATATACTTAAGTGTATTAGGAAACAGTAATGAAAGTGTTGTCTTTTTAAGTACACTTAAGTGGCATTTTTATATTAAGTATGTTAAAAAACATACTTTTAAGATTTGAAGTACACTACATGTGCACATTCAATACAATTAAACACACTTCTTTTTCACAAGGGTACATGCTTTTAAAATAAGTGAAACCTTTGTTTTTCCTTCAATCCCTCACAATTATTTTATAAAAAAAACTATTAGGCAAGTACTTGTTTAAAGTTCACAGTTCTGTTTTCCTGTGTTTCTTATGTAACATCTGCGTAGCGCACAGCCAAAACACAAGATGTGCCTTTTCTGCTACTTTCAGCAAGAGAAATCTCATCTGATCTGAATGGCATTTTGTTATTGTGCCATTTTCAGCTCACTCTACCAAATTGCTGGCAAGGATCCGAAAAGCGGATTATCGCTTCAGCGTGTGGGAGAAGGTGCATGCATATGCACGTGCGTATCAGTACGTTCGCAATTACTAGCCTGAAAATTTATGTGTAGTGGTTACAGATTGTTTGAGCGAGCATGTGTGCTCATATACTAGAGCGTGTGTGGGCTGAAGTATGCGTTTAAAGTCGGCTTTTGCGGGGGAGCTGGAGTATGGCGCCCATGGCCCTGCCTTAAAACGCCACAATAAGATTAACGAGTGCTTGCCGTGCCACATGCTGCTGTCCCTGCTTTTCTGTCTGAGCGCTGACACCTGAAACCCTGACGCAGAGAAGAGGGCATCTGTTGTATCTGCATGTGCATCCGTGACTGTCAGTATGCACGTTTTATCTATTACTCGCTTTATCATTATTGCAAGAGTCGGAGCAGGTTTTGATGGATGATTACATACTACAAACTTGGGAGCAATGTGCGCTGATAAATAGTGCACAATAAAGCCAGGTGTGTGTTTTAGGAAAGGTCAATTTTGGTTGACTTTAAGGAACATAAATATGACATTTATGTCAAATATGACTGAGTAACACGTGAACAGCAGTGATCTGAGAGCATTAAGAGAATCAGGCCTCTTTGTTCATTTCCTTCACAATCTAAAGGGAACGGATGCATTCTTATAGACTCATTCAAATTTGACACATATTTTCAATGCCACGCTATTGCTATACAGACACCAAGATATGCAGGACAGAACATATACAAGTATATATGGCCTACATGGATTAGCCATTCAACTTATAGAGCTGGATAGCAAGCAGAAGCATTGAGAACACGTGTGTGTGTGTGTGTGTGTGCGCGTTTTTGTGACAAATGAGGACATCAATTTGTATAATGACAAAGGTATGACATAGGTATTACAAGGAGAAGGTGACTTTTCAGGACATTGCCCCATGTCCCCACTTTTCAAAACGCATATATATAACACAGAATGGAGTGTATTGAAAATCTGAAATAGCACAAAGTTTCCTGTAAG